GTTGGAGTGGGGACCAGGAGGAAGCTGATATGGTGGCTCCAACATGACGTCTGGAGTCTTTGACTACACTTCACTGTGGTGCTGGATGGGGTCATGGAGGAGGGTTCCAGGGCAAAACTGTCTGGATTGTCATCATGTGAGATGTGGAAGGGAGTGAGAAATTAAGAGGTGTCCCACACCTGCCTCAGTTGACTGGAGGACCCAATGGGGCTGTCATAGTGTGGGTGACCCCAAGATGAGAAGGATGGAAAACACGTTATCATACGGTTCAGCGACTCGCAGGGGGAACCACCCCTCCGATCTGGGCTTGGGTTTGTGGGTTTGTTTCTCTCTCACACACTTCCTCTCTCTGACCTTCTCTTTCTGTGACAGCAGCATCTTCTCTCCATCAGAACCTGAGTCATTCCTGTCTCCTCACAGTCTTGTCCCCCAGATATGAGCTCTTCTGGACCGTGGATTCTGTCTCCTGCTTCGCACAAAGCACTAGTTGGAGACAATTAATAATTTTGTTTTGGTTTGTTGGTTTGGTTTCAATGTTTGTTTGTTTATTCATTCTCAGTTGTTGGACATTTGGATTGTTTCACTTTTGCCTTTTGGGTCCTTCTATGAACATACTTGCCTAAGTGTCTGCTTGATTAGCTGTATGTAATTCTGTTTTCTGTTTTGATCTGCGTTGTGGTAAGAGCATTTACTATGAGATCTACTCTCTTTACAAATTTCTGTTCCAGGACAATGTTGTGCTTTCTACCAAGGTGGCATCAGTGAGGTGGGATGGGCAGATAATTGCAAACAGACCTATTTGTAGACAGTTGCCCTAATTCTGTGTATTTTGACAAATTATTTCATGAGTCTGAGGTCATCTTTATAAGGGAGGAGATGACTCCTACCTAAGAGTTCTCTGGTAAAGACTCAGCAATGGGGTGTGTGCAGCACCCAGTGCAGACCCTGGCACCTGGGACACATCAGAAAATGCTGATCTGTACTGTCGTGTGCAATAACCAGATGGCCTCTGCTCTGTGTGGATCTGGATGCATGGGTGGTGATCTGAATGATCAGACAGGGCTCCAAACTAGGCTCATGCTCTACACTCACCACACTGGTATTTGAACATGGGGGACTGCCTGTTCATTTTCTTCCTTTCTTTGGAAAATGCATCTTTCTTTTTTAAAGTTTACTTATTTAAAGTTTACTTATTTAAATTCAAGGTAGTTAACATAGAGTGTAGTATTGGTTTCAGGAGTAGAACCCAGTGATTCATCTCTTACATATAACACCCAGGGTTCATCCCAACAAGTACTCTCTTTAGTGCCCATCACCTATCTAGCCCATCTCCCCTCCCACCCCCACCTCCCCTCCAGTGACCCTTAGATTGTTCTCTGTATTTAAAAGTCTCTTATAGTTTGTCTCCCTGTCTGCCTGTTCATTTTCTTTTTTTTAAATTTTTTTTTCCAACGTTTATTTATTTTTGGGACAGAGAGAGACAGAGCATGAACGGGGGAGGGGCAGAGAAAGAGGGAGACACAGAATCGGAAACAGGCTCCAGGCTCTGAGCCATCAGCCCAGAGCCCGACGCGGGGCTCGAACTCCCGGAACGCGAGATCGTGACCTGGCTGAAGTCGGACGCTTAACCGACTGCGCCACCCAGGCGCCCCTGCCTGTTCATTTTCTATGCTGCCCCACAAATCATGTAGGCGACCCTGCCTCTACAGTTTGCTTTGTCTTTGATTAGCTCATGTTAGTTCACTACTTTTTTGTTAAGTCTCTGTGAGTGGAGTGCAAAAGAGGAACTCTTTGTACCAGGACTGAGCAAGGGACCAAATTTACATAAATTAAAGGTAAAGGCAGACAGGGAGGATGCTGAGTTAATTTATTGCAGATTGCTGTGTATGTTTGTGTGGAGGTAAACTTTTCTGTCTGTCTTTCCATTTATAATCAATCCTGAATCCATCCATCCTGCCAGGAATCTATACAAAAGTTAACTAGATTTCACACAATGCACCAAGCATGAATACTAAAGTATGTGCTAAATTCACATGGATCCTGTTCTCTGATCATTGCTAGTCCTGGGAATGTTATGGGTGTCAAATAAATAATGACAAAAGATATATACTTGACCACTATGTCGTGTGGTATGTGGAATAAGTCCTTGGAGGTTGGAGATGATGTCACAGAGGATGAGGACTGGTCTGGGCAACATGGAATGTTGACAGTTCCCACAGCACATGCCTCACATACTCTTCCAGAAATTCCTGGGCACATAAGATGTGCTTCCCAGATTCTGTCATTCTGATCGTTGCATTGTTCTCTCTTGAGTTTTCCTGCTGGATGCATCTTGGATTCCTCTCTGACTGCAGTGATCCTGAAATAGCAGAATCCCGAGGACAACAAGGATCAAGCCAGCCATGACAATGCGGATGAGATTCTCTACTGTGTAATCTTTGGGGTGGGACGCTAGGAATTGAGGACAAAGTGGTCACTGAGGTGAGGGGAGACCCAAATCAGCCCAGATCCTGTATGTCCACCCAGGGTGCCCACCTCCCCTTGACAGGACTTCACGCTCCATGCCACTTCCATAACTGAGACTTTCTCCTACTCACCAGTGTTGTGGTCTGACTTGTTTTGTGATGGGCTGATGGTGTCAGCTGCTCCTGAGAGCCAAAAAAAAGTGGAGGAAGATGAATTTCTGATGAGACTTAAACTTGTCCCCCAGGCTGCGTGTTCTCGTATCTCCCGGGTACGGGTTCTCGTACCAGCCCCGGTTCTCATGCTATAACTTCTTATGCAGTCATTAATTGATACTTTCTCTGTTATAGAAGAATCCTCTCTGTTCTAAATGGATTATTTCAGTCTCCCTGTCTTTTTTGAATTTAGACTCTGCTTCTGAGTTGGTTTGGAGCAGAGTCTTCCTGTGTCCCCCTAGCTCAGAATTTAGTGAGATAAATCATCTCTCAATACAGAAGTACTTGTGCTCTTGTATTCTCTGTGTTTATTCTGAGCACCTAAGCTACCTCTTATGGATAGGAGAACTTGTATTTTCAACAATTCAGGACCTAGTGTCCATGAAACAGGGGTTGGTCACAAATATAATGTGTATATATATATATATATATATAGAGAGAGAGAGAGAGAGAGAGAATTCAGTGCATACAACACAGGTTGTGTTAATTACTTGAAATGCCCTAGGTAGGAAGGAGACATGTCTGAACAATGTCAGGGTGAGGGTTGCACTTGGAGAGGACATTTAAGTTGATTCCTGAATAGGAGAAAGAGGCTGAGAGGAGCAATGTGAAGACCCAGAGAAGATGTGTGTAAAGAGCAGGTCCCCAGAAAGATCTAAGCACGCTCTTCAGAAGTAAATGAAGCCATGTTTGTTGTTGTAGGAGGATCCCAGAGGAGAATAGGGAGTCGGGGGGGGGGGCTGGTGCATGGAAGATGGGCCAGGTGTGGCAGGATAGATGAGGGATGCTGCATCATCATCATGATCATCATCATCGCCACCATCACCACCATCATCATCACCACCATCACCACCACCATCATTATCGGCATCTTCATCACCACCGTTATCATCACCATCCCCATTATCATCATCACCACCACCATCATCAATATTACCACCAACATCATCACCACTGTCCTCCTCCTCTTCTTCTTCCTTCTCCTCCTCCTCACTGTCTCTAACTCTGTTTGTCAATCATAACTCTGAAAACGAATGTAAGATTTCAAGGTAGGACACTAGTCATTTGATTTTTATCTTCAAAGACCATCTCTCTCCTCTCCATATAAATGTCCAGAACCAAGGATGTCACACTTCTGGTCTCAAATCCATAAAGAGCAGAGAAAATCAGTTTTGTTATAAAACTGGTGAGCACAAAATTAGGTAATCCTACAAACCTATTTCAATCCATTTCACATAATATGCAACAAGATAAAAAAAAAACAAAAAAAATGCAACAAGATAAAAAATTATAGATCAGTCTAATTATAAATCTCCATGTGAAAATTCTACATAAGCTTATAGAATTCACAGAGTATGAATGAAGAATACACATCATTCAGTAGGCTAGTATGCAAATCTTTGGTACCAAGAAGTCTTTCAAATGTATCTCACTGGGGCTATAAATTTAAAAGAATAAGCCTGGAGTTGTACAAGCCCAGAAATAATTCCTAATTTATACTGAGTAAAGAATTTTTTCTGAAGCACCTGGGTGGCTCAGTTGGCTAAGCTTCCCACCTTGGCTCAGGTCATGATCTCATGGTTCACAGGTTTGAGCTCTGGGTCAGGCTCTGTGCTGACAGCTAGGAGCCTGGAGCCTGCTTTGGATTCTTTGTCTCCCTCTCTCTGCCCCTCCCCAACTCGTGCTCTGTGTTTCTCTTTCTCAAAAATAAATAAACATGAGGAAAAAAGAAAAGATTTTTTTTTCTAATGAAACCTGAATGTAACAGAAAAATAGACTGAAATGGACAGGTTAGTATCACTATATGTATAAATATATAGATTTTTTTATGTTTGCCTTAAAATAATTAGGGATATCAATGAAGATATTTTCTTAAAGCAACACTGAGTTTTGTATTAATGTCTTACATTGTCATCATTATTATAAGGTATTTGCTGTAAGTAAACTTGGTGCACAATCTGGAAATGAAGAGGTAAGTTTCTTTTTTTTGAGTTTGATAAAATTATTACCAGTAAATCAAAGCAGATCAATTGTAAAGCAACTGAAAAGTGGAGAATCCGTACTGAGTTAATAGAATCATAGAATATAACACTAATTTAACCAAACCAGTATCGTTTTGTATATACTTAACTATTATTTAGAAAGAAAAAAATCATACTTATAAATGAATAAAGTAGTTGAACAACTTTTAAGCTTTGAGTGTAGACAAAATAATGAACAAAACGTTAGAATGTGTCTGCATCATTTATAAACCTCGTTTCTAAGCATTTGTATCCAAGAACACTTCATAAGGGCAGCAGAGCGGTGCCCACAGGTGGGGATGCTTCTCTTTCGGGGATTGTCTCGTGGGGGCTCCACCTGCACCCACAGCAATTTCCACCTTGGCCTGAGCAGCTCCAGTCATGGCGTGAGAGGGCTCAGGTGTGGGTGGTCTGCCCTCTATGACTGTCGCAGGTCCCCACCTCCACCAGCCCAGCATCCTCACTGTGCTCCAAGTCAGGCCTGGACACCAAGCGCTGCCATCCCACCTCCTCTCCATCCTGTATCCCACACATTCTCCACACCTGGCTGGAGGCCTAAGAATTGTGGTGACAAGGGCTGGGTGGCTCTTAGGAGAAAATCCCACGGTTTTGTGTGAGATGAGGAGGAACTGAGATGCTAAATCGATGGGGATTTCTGTTCTCCATCGTACTGGGACTTCCTCTTGCCCTGCTGAGACCCAGGCCAGATGCACAAAACCACATGGACCTGCATCTCCCACACCTTTCTGAACCTTCCCACGTCTGAGTTCCAGGGAGAGGCAGGACAGTGGGAGGCCAGAAATGGGATCACTGCTGGCAGCCCCCCCTCTTCAGACAGGGAGCACCTTTCTTAGAAGCTCCACCTCTCGGGAGAGCTGAGCCCACAAAGACTCAGCCCCACAGGGCATCCTCGTCTGTCCTACCTGCCTCCCGGTTGAGCAGCTACCCTGCCCCTGCCCCTGGCTAGCAGCCAACACCCTGCTTCTGAGCCAGAGACACCAGGAGGTAAGTGGGTGGGACCTCTGCCTTGTAACCTCAGTCTGACCTCATTTCCTCTCAGGGTCGAGGGATCTAAGTCCATGCCTCTCTCTCCTCAGCCCTGTCTGAGACTGCAGGGGTGGCGATTCCCCTGGTGGGAGGTCCCGCCTATCCCAGCCCTCCTGGGTGGACCCTCCTCTGTGGAACTGCCCCTTGTGATAGTCTTATTGCATCCTGTCTCAGAATTTCCTGTAGACAGCATCCTGAGCTGGCCTTTTCTGCCCAGAGAGGACAGCAACAGGGAGGGACTCCTCACCTAGGACCAGGGTCCTGCCGCGAATCACCATCTCAGGGAGCACTGAGACCCCTCTCCACCCCATACCTCGTAATCAAAGGACAGGGAGGTGAGGTGGTGCTGCTCCCCTAGCTGGGCCCTCACCCTCTCCCTCTGCCATGACC